TTGTGAGGCACATTGAGATTTTGAACTGGATGAATTTACTATTAAACTGCAGTCATGGCTCTAGTGGCTGTGATAATTTCCTCCTAATGAAGTCCAGTTTTCTTTGATCCAACCACATTTCCCACAACGCACATCGAGCACTTAGGACATTTGACACCTGGACAGCAAGTTCCCCACAGAGCCAATAATAAAACACGTGACACTGGCATTGTGCATGCCCCTATCACCCCTTACACATGTACTGTATGTTTGTGTGAGAGTGTTACCTGTGATGAAACCCCCAGCAGTCGGAGAGAGGCTGTGAAACTGCTGGTCATGTTTGGCTCTCTCGTCCACAGAGATCAGAAACACATCTGGACCTAACGCATCCATAAGAAACAACAAACACACACAGAGCCAGTTACAATCCCAGAGGTCGAGCTCAAGTCAGATACAGACGGGAAGAAAAGGGAGGCTTGAGAGAAATGCATTAGTCATGAGTCTCACTTCCTGTTATATAGCTCCTTTAAGAGTTGGACAGAGTGCCAGCTCAGAGATGAATGGATGAGGAACCGAGTGCGTAATTAACATGCGAATGCAACCGATTCATCAGCAGTCGACAGAAATAACGTGAGCTTCTCTCATCACTGAGTTTACTACTTAAAAAGCCATTTCTGCTTCACCAGCCCTCATGCTCTATCCTCAGCTATAAAGAGATGTTGTGATACAACGTGCTGGTGTTAACAGTGATACAGAAAATGATTTAACAAAGATAAAATAATCCAGTTCCAGCACAGTTACAGTGACAGGCGGTAACGTTGCAGTTTTGGTGTCTCTTCTCTTTACAGTCTTTCAGTTTCTGCCATTGTGCAGCCGCAGCTTTTCTGAACACTTCACAGCTGACTAAAGTAAAGTGACCGCTGCTGATAGCATTCATGTTTCTACTGCTGAAGAACGTTACACAGTGCAAACCCACAAAAATCCCACAGAGAGCCCCACAAGTGACAAAGTAATAATTCAAGGTAATTAAGAAAGGAACAGGGAGCAAAAGTTCTGTTATAACTATAAAAGACACCACACGATGAGTAAAAGAATATCTCATGTATTTGCACACTACATATATATGGTGTGCATGCCCTTTTTTAATAGGAATTTAAAGGACAGGAATTTAAACTACACAATATCCATCTTTTCTTGCATAAATCCATATTTTCTGTAAATTGCACAACCTTTCTATCATTTTTCTTACTTACATTTACTTGGAAGAGAAGGGAGTTAAATGTTTAGTGAGTCATTCTAGTTCATTGGAAAATGCAAGACAAACCACTGCTGACTGAAAGTCATTTCTCTGTAACTGTTGATAAAAATTATACTTGTCGGCTGTCTTTGGTGCTGG